GGGTCCCCTATGGTACGAGGAATTAGCCTGCTAATACAAAGAAATAGGTGATAATCATCTTCAGGGAGGAAGAACTTACCTGGCGCCGAGTCCGCCGGGCAACAAGAGCATATCTAGATCCTGTGGTGCATTGTCAAAGGTGTGCGTCGGCACGAGGCCTTGGCTAAAGTTGCTTCCTTGTTTATCTTGCACCCATGTCTGTGTTCGTGTGGGATCTAGGGTTGCGGCTAGTATACTGAGCTCAAGTGTGTTGCTGTTTGATAGCAGACAGAATGCATCGAGTGGGCCCGCAGCATCAAGGAGTTGAAAGCCGGGGAAAAGAATGACACCAATTTTTGTAGGGAGAGGATTTGCAACCATTGTGGTAGACTTAGACGAGGTTATGTTTTCAAATTCGTAGTAAGAGAGATGTAATAGAATGAGGATTCAAGTGATTTTTGAAACGAGTTGTTTGTTGCCAAGCTGTCTTAGGTTGGTGGGATGATTGGAATTTCTATCAGGTTGGAAGTTTCAAGGTTATATCATGCTCATTCTCACTGTTACCCAAACGCTTCTTACACGGTGACTACACCTAGACAAAGATGTTAGCTGACCAGTATCGCAAGCAAGTATCTTAGTCAGCCGCGGGGCAACCTGGGGTGAGCTGACGCTCTAAACGCTGCTCACATATATTCTGGGTAATCGAATGCCTCCGCGGTGGACACTGAGGGTAAAGTCTACCAACCTAGGGCCATAGAGACCGCATCAGGCACGGCCGTGGGTACAAATTCCACGGCCGGTAATATACTTGATGTCGATCGAGGCTAGATCGTTGTTTCAGCAAACAATCCAAACATGTGATCTCAATAGCTGGTAGAGTTTGAGATGATGTAAACTATGAACAACGGCTCAATGAGGGTTCGTTCAATATGTGGCCCCTTTACCTAAGCAAGCTTGAATCGCGGTCGCACCCCACCAGATACTTCTGAGGTTCATCGATTCGTGGAATACCTACATGCCCTTTGAAGGTCATGCTAACGCTGTGGCTAGTGAAAATATACAAAGTACCTTTGTTACGATGATATTGTCTCAATTAAGTCGGCGATCGTCGCTATCGGACTGCGTCAGATCGATTGAGAAGATCCACGGTGTTCACAGCTATTCCGAGCAATGTACCCAACCCACAACTGCCCCTCTGCCGCTCCGGTTCGTCCATGAAACTTGACATATCGATTTGAACCACGTATTTAATCCGGATCAAAACGCTTGCACAACCACATACGGCATTTAGCTATTCTACAGCAGATTGGAAGGAAGTATATATAAACTCAACTACAGCTAGGTGTAGTAATTCGACCTTATCTACCCCACTTCAAACCCACCATGAAGCAGGGACGCGCTACTCTCCCAACACCGACTTCGACGTCGTCATTCTGGCATAGCGAGCCGAATGAGTTCTTGCTCGGACATCGAACCACAGAAGAGCTCCCTGTTGAGGCCGATATCGTTATTGTAGGAAGTGGTATAACTGGCGCCTCTGCAGCTCGATATCTGAGTGAAGATGCGAGAGCCAAGGGCAAGAGTATTGTTGTGCTTGATTCCCGAGATGCATGTTGGTGCGCTACAGGCAGGGTGAGTGGTTTTCTTCACTCCAGATGCATACTGTAGGTAATACACATCTGTATACCTCGAAACGCGCGCCGCTGGTATTCAGTGCACTACGGGATGATAAGGGCACTGACTGGACCAAATAGAATGGCGGTCACTGTCAACCACTTCTCTTCGATCGCGGCGCTGAAGTAGCTACATTTGAACTCCGTAATGTCGCCGCCGTTCGATCCTACATCCAGGCCAACAACGTCCCCTGCGAATGGCGTGATGTATCTGGCTGCCGTCTGTTCGGAACTGAAAATGCAATGGCAGAAGCTGAGCGTGAAATTGCACATCTTCAAACCATAGCACCAGACATCGCCAGCCGGGTCACGGTTATTCGAGATAAAGAGGAGTTGAAGAAACATCAAGTAAACCCAGATATTGTTGGGGCTACCCTCACGGCTGGTGCTGCAAGCCTATGGCCATATAAGCTCGTGGCTTTTATACTGGAGAAACTCATTAAAGAAGGCACAATCAATCTTCAGACAAAGACGCCAGTCACCGAAATTGCAAGCGCTGACGGCAAACATACACTACACACTCCCCGTGGCACCATCTCTGCAACGACTGTAATCCTAGCAACAAATGGATATACTTCCGCCCTGCTTCCTCACTTCGCCGACCTCATCGTGCCCGTACGTGGCGAGATGTCCGCTTTATATCCGCCCAAAGGCTCAACCCTATTACCCAATTCGTACGGCATGGTAGGAACTCTTGGTCAGCCCGAAAACAATGACGACTATCTCATCCAACGACCTTACTCGGGCGTACCCAACCCCGGCGGCCATCTCATGTTTGGTGGCGGCCGCGGAGCGGGCCATTTGCCTACGGTTGGTGTATCGGACGACAGTGTCATTGACGATGACTCTGCGACGTATCTCCGCGGCGCGCTCTTAAAACTGCTCTCGCTCGACGGAGAAACAGCTGGTCTAGAGGAATTGCGCGCCGCGGCACAATGGACAGGCATCATGGGGTACTCACGTGACGATCATCCGTGGGTAGGCAAGGTCCCGGGCAAAGAAGGATTATGGTTGTGTGGTGGGTATACAGGGCATGGAATGCCTAATGGCACGTTGTGTGGGAAGGCAGTTGTAGACATGATGCTTGGGGAGCTAGAGGGGAAAAAATTGGATGCTCTGCAGCAGGATATGGTTAAGGAAGGAGATATTCCTAGTAGCTATATTTTGAGTGAGGAGAGGATTGAGAGGGCGAGGCGCTTGTTGACGGTGTTGCAACAGGATGAGTCGGGGGTGCATCATATGTATAGTGTTGTGTAGACCTCGTGCTGGGCAAACCCTCGCTGTTCATGATTTGCGCATCGTCTCAAACTCTACTAGAGGAATCACTATATTTGGATTATACGTTATAAAAGGTATCTATTTTTGATCGATATCGAGTATGTTACCAGCCATGGAATTCATCCCCACGGCTGTGCCTGATGCACTTCATCATGCCATACTGGTGTCATTTCGACCCCACATTACCTACCTTATTATACCACACGAGTTTGTCTCATCCTCAACTAACTATTTCTAGCATCGCAAATTGTACGAAAGTTAACAAGACTTGATCAAATACCGAAATTTTTACCATAGCTACTATACATTCTTGTAGGTTATGAACTATGCTAAATGGATATCCTTCTCTTCATTACATTCTTATCATATTCATAACAGTCATCGACGGGCTACCGGACACTTATTGATAGTGTAATGTCTTCCAGCAATCATCTAGCCCAATCAGCACAGGGAGTCACAGACCACCTGTGTCCAGCTTGCAATCACGACTTGCGGCGCTGCAGCATGTTTTTCGTCGCCTCAGTCACCGAGAACCCATTGAATAGCCACTCATTCGAATGCCGGCCACGCCACGGGTCGCTTCCACTTCTGTCTGGATTTTGAAGCCTGGGTCGTTGTTGTGTAGAGGAGGCACTTGTATTGGAGGCGTGTCGAACGTGTTGGGGTGGTGCTGCATGTGTCTTTGAATAAGGGGATTCTGAACGCTTCCGCGAAGCATCGCGTGATCTGCTTCTTGAGCGACCGCGAACACGTGCACTGATGGTGCCGAAGAAAGTTTGTTCGGTTGGCGATGCTGTACGTGATGTTGGCGAAACTGGTGAGGTGGGCGGTGATATCAAGGTTTGTCCAGATGATTGCGAATGTTGCGAGTTGGCTGTGTTTGTGCGGATGGGGGGTATAGCTTTGAAGTTGGATTGGGACGTCATCTTTGATACTTCTAGCTAGGTAGGTTGTGGTACAATTTAAATGGATAGGTATGCTTGCGATGGAAACTTGGATTGCAGTGCAGGACCGGAGTAGACGACGGGGAATGACCAGCTCAAATAGCTTTTGGTAGATAATTCCTGCAGGACAAAATCCTATGCGGCTCAATGAACAAATGTGCCCATTGCGTATACAGTCTGTCCCAACTGCATGTCCTATCCAATTCCACCGACCCGCTCCCTTGGCGCATATCAATGCCAAAGCTGTCTGTCGGTGACAGCCCCCTCCAAGCTGCTCCTCTAGCCAATTAAATCCCTCACATCACATGCGGGGCTTCAGTTCCTCAGGAATACTCACCGACTTCCATCTGTGGCGCGCGGTCTAGAGTACCCACAAGAAATGCACGGCCAACGCATCTAACCGAGCGATGGACTTCTCAGTAGGGCTAAGTGTTGAGCCAATAAAGCACGCGGAATGTAACCTGCTGGCCTTGAAACCAAGGTTTTGGTATCACCGGCAAGAGTGGGGCCCCTCAATATGAATGTTCTCTATTTGTTCTTTGTCCGCGCGTTGTGTCCTATACCAAGCGACGAGCTTGCGAAAGAGGAGCACTAGTAAGACATACATCGTTCGGGCCGGTGGCTCGATAGATGACTCCTGCTATTTCATGGCCTAGCCATCGGAGTCAACCAAATTTGTTCCGAGGGAATCGCTTGAGCACGTCCTGCAGAACCGGCCGCATGGGTCTCGGGTACTCCGCGTTTGGGAGGCTTACCACAGGTGATCATGCGCATCGTGGGCCGAATCGTGTTTGGAGAATAGTTACCAAGACATCATTGTCGGGGGTGGCCGCTCTTTTGTTGCAAGTGTTCCAGATATGACTCTCAACGTGGTCGTCCAAGAGGGGACCATGCGCTTTGTGAATCTTTTAGCCGGTAGAGACCTGGCAAAATTTACATTTGTATCACAAGTTATTGGACAACGTTTATGATTGATATTTGTCGGTGCTTGTGGTGCTTGTCGCTTGGTAGAAAGTTGTGGTGGCGGAGACTGGTTGGGCACGTGACGGTGAAAGTCGACGCCCGCCCCATGTCTCCACAACCAATGGTCAAAAAGACTCCAAATACAGGGACAAAAGAGATGTCTTGCATCCTCCGGGACTCGAACCCGAACCAATTGCTTGGAAGGCAATTATCCTACCCTTGGACCAAGGATGCTATTGATGAATGGTTGTAAAATAACTTAGTACTTATACACGATGATAAAATATTTTGCAAATGCATCATCCCTTGCACAGGTAAACGCGCCCGTACACGGGCCACATCAATAGAGCCAATTAGCGTACAGCGC